ACCAGAAGTACCTTTTAATAAAGAATGATGTCCAAAACCATATCACTCACTCTCTTTCAATGTTTTATCCACCAAGTTGACACTTTGCTTTACTACATACAGAAGGAGATACGTTTCACTTGTACTTGATTTACATATTCTGTATACAAATGAGAGGAACTAAAAACATCATACAGGCCTGTTCTTCACAAAATATATTTAAATCATATAACTGGTTTTGAATCCCTTCCTAATTTTTTGCATTTTTGTATATCTTTATATTCTTATGTTAGGACTACATGGTTGTGGATCACTTTCAAAATGTATTGCTTACCAAAAGCAATCTGCACCATTTATTGCTAATACATATAAGAATGTAAAAACTGTAAAAATACAAAAAATTAGGAGAGCAGATGCAAATTGAAATGCAAAACAGAAAACATAATCTAAAGCAACCCCCAAGCTGCTAGAGGGACAAACAGAAATAAGCTCTTGGCCAGGCAGAGGGTTGTCACCACTGTGCTTTTCTCTTTTCTCTCTCTCATGCCTTTCTCTCTTTTGTGTTTAAGATCGGAGCCCAGTGCTACTTGGAATGCTCAGCCCTGACTCAGAAAGGTCTCAAAGCAGTTTTTGATGAAGCAATCCTCACCATTTTCCACCCCAAGAAAAAGAAGAGATGCTGCTCTGAGTGTCACAGTTGCTGTTTAATTATCTGAGGCTGCCAGAGACCCACCTGCACCCCATCCAAGGGTGAGAATGGCAGCCAACCAAGCTCCAGCCAAAAAGGAGGGCATGACCAGACAGAATTCCCTTCACAACCCAGAGGCTTGTTCCTCCACTCTGTGTGCCCTCCTAGCATACCATCTAGTCAGCCAACTGCCACGTCCTCTGCCATCCAGAAACACCCACATTGCACACTCTATGAGAATGCTGAGCCCAGATTTCAGACAGTGCCACTGCTGATCATGTTGAACACAAAGTCAAAGGCCATCTTGCATTTTACGTGTTCCCCTTCCATGAACATGAAGCTGACAGGAAATCATTGCAGGAAAACCAAAAGAGGAACTGGGTTCCCATATCAGTGGCCTTATTTGATGTCTTTTAGAAAACATGGGAATACAGTGGTAACCTTTTTTTCTAAATCTGCTGTTCTACCCATGTGTCTTACATTTCTATTATTTCAAGAAATTTACTAATTTCCTGTTTACTCAAGCCTTACAAATCT